TATGATGACAAGCACATATATATACACACATAAACACACAGAGCTAAAGATATATGAGAAAATGTAGTAATTAATATTATGTTATAGACTTTGTCACTGTAGTAATGATGTGATAAATTTGAGTTCGTTTCACTACACTTTGGGGTCAAATGCCTGAGTTCAATGATGTAATTAATAATTAACTTCACTAACCAATCATTATGGTGATATGTGTATATATAAATTGAATGAGATAATTCAACTTTCATTATTTCGTTTATAACTTGATACAACTTTATTTAAACCGTTGTCTTTTCGCTTAGTGAATTCTAGCTAAAGAGTTAAACTCAACTTCAGCTGTGTTCATGTCTTCGATAAAAGATTACATTTATGTATTCAATTTTCTCAATGTCGAAGAAATGAGCACAACTTAGGTTGTTTACTCTGAAACAACTTGAAAAGATTTAGTTTCCGAAAAAGAGAAATAAACCGTAAGTTGGACATTTTACTACATCTAGTTATTGTGTAACAGTCTTTTAAAACGTAGTTTACGATTAATAAACTAATTATGATTTAGATTGAGTTACTTAATTCATTTGTAGATGAATCTAAAATTCAATGACCACCTCTAAATGATCCCGAAGTATCCATACAAGGATTTAAACTAAACTCCGTTTCCATTAACTTATTAAATGGGTGTATATCATAAAACAACATTCAACAGAACTAATTGACAGTTCAATACGCAAATCTATTATATCTAGATACGAAGTAAAACTATTACAGCGATTATATGAAAGCTTGAAGTGTTTACAGTATTTGAAGAATGGTTTTGTTGGTGAGCAATACGTAAATATTAACCTAAATGCCAATCTTTTGTTTTCAGTAGTTATTGAACAAACAGTGTCTAGTTTGCCAGAAATCTCCCGACTTTTAATTGACTGGAGCTATTTATGAAGAAACCTTGAACTAATATTCCTTGCTAGCTTCCATATGTCAGCAAGGCACGTCTACAATCTTAAGCGAAGCAGTGCTTTTTATGTGATTAGAGACCGAGTCACCCAGTGCTTCAGTTAGAGATGATATCATTCAATTATATGGGTCACATTGTCTGTTTATTTAGTCTAGTGACTGAATCACAACTTGATACATAAATACCGATAACCGAAAAGTACCATCCAACATAATATTAGTTAACGTTCAATAAACAATTAATGCTAAATAATTAACACAAGTTCAAATTTTTCCACAGCAAATCATCTCTCGCGGAACATTTCTATGTATTTACCCCAAATTATACATTTGGTTTATTTAAAATAAATGAAAATAAAATAGCTGAAAATGGTTTACATTACATTACACTTGTTGAAAACTGTAGAGGATTGGACTGTTTTGTTTTAGCAAGGAAACTTTAGAATGCGTTGTGACTTTGTTGTCTCTAGACTACCAGCTTGGTATCTAGTCTTTATTTTCAACTTTAGCTGATTCTGGGTAGTAAGCGATCACTGAACATTAACATAAGTGATAACCATTATTGCTGATATGACTGAACTCCATCTTTTCCCACTAGAAATTCGGGAGTTTCTCTCACAGAAATAATATGTTGACTAGAAAGTAGCAACATTCTTAAAAAGCATCTTAAAGTTAAATAAATCAATATTTTAAAGCCTTTATACATTTACCTCCTGTTTAACGTTATAGTTGCATATTGTCGTCCAACTATCAAAACAGAGGCAGTGAATTGATTTTAGATGAGGTTAACGAGACTGACAATGGCAGATACTCACAAACACACAAAATAAATGGTTCAAGCTAATACAATACTAACAGCCCCAGTACAAATCCGGGCTTATTACAAAAAAGCATACAATATCAGTTGACGTAATTCCAGGACGAATAACGTAAATTAGAAGCAACGTAGAACTTGACATCGGCTTCAGTCACCTCATCATGTCGCCATAGGGAGATGAAACGATCAAAATAAATGCCATGGCAGGAGAAATAGTAACAATGTCAGTGGTAGCAAAAACATTAGGCATAGTCAATATAATTTGAGAAAGAATTTGTAGAACAGTAATTATAAGATAATCTCGAAACTCAAGATCTAAAGAAACACAATGGATGAATGTATCTGCTGTCACGATCGATTCTGAGCCATACCATCCAACATCATCAACTATCGGTTATGATAATCACATGGACGCTAGTCTGATAGCCTATACCTAACAAAGTTTAGGCTAATTACCAACACAACTCTGTTTACCCTAATTATTAAGTATTTCTCATGTGTAATATATTCGTCCTATCATGAATCGTATTTAAAGCCAAGTAGTCAATATTCTGATTACAACTAACCATAAACAAACAAACATTGATTTCGGACTAAATTTATTGCTTACATTTCCACAACTGTAGAGCTTTGAACAAGCTAGTTGAGAGAGATTACCATACTGATCTATTCGTTACATTAATAAATCTTAAAACAATCAAAATATTAGTGAACTGTTTCATAATGGCATCATTTCAGTTACAACGCAATTTCAGGATATCTATATCGAAAACCAAATTGATTAATGGTTTTATTCCACCATCCATCTGATACGATTTTGAGCCAGCTGATACTTCCAGCAGTAACATGATACTGAGAAGTAATGCTGAAAACTGATTAAAGGAAAATAAATAAGAATCGTTAATAATAAGATAATATTAACACAGTCCGAATATGTACGTTTCAAAGTGCAGAACAAGTTCCTCTTGGTCATAAATTTGATCTTCCTCTCAAATTATCACTTTTCATCGATTTAATCTAATAAATCCATTTGTAATGAGCTAGTTACTGAAGTATGTCGACTTTTCATCAATGAAAATGTAGAACAGTCACAACTGATAAGTGGCTTAAGTATTTATACTAAATTCATTTCATGGGTTGACACGTTTACCAACCTAATTCAAATAGTGGCTGAATTTCTGTTTTTAAGAAAACCGTCTTCACTTGTACATTAATTTTTGATGTAAAAGAGAAATGAATAGTTCAAGTATATGCTGACCACAAATGTGAAGGTAAAAATACTATAGATTTTGAATTTTTGATGTACGTGTAAACACTTGTCTAACAAGCCGAAACAGTATAAAGCTTATGTACAGCTTAACTACCAATAATCCAGAATCGGTGGTACTCCATATTACTATTTGCAATTCCTTTCATCCACTGCAGTCAGGTAGACAACTGAATACAGAAAATATGTCTATCGATAACACCAATGTTAACACAATGGGAAATATGTGAGTTATTGGATGTAGTCTCGAGAATCAGCCAATACTGTTGTGAACAGTAGAAAACCCAATTTGGTTTTACGCGTAAAAAAGAACTATTAAAATGTAAATAAAATTTTTTTCCCTGTGACTTAAATTACATATTTTGTTCCAGGGATGTAATTATTACGAAATGACATACTTAACACATATTTGTGAGTGATTTTCATGTGTTAACATGAAGTTCCTATTTAATATACAAATAGCTAATTCAATTAACAGTTATTGTTACCTATAGAATGATTAGACCGATAGTAACAATCGTTTAACTCAATCTTTAATTTTGATTAAAAGCGAAATATACAAAGTGATAACAAATCAAACCGTAATGAATATTTAAATTACAAATATTCAAAGATGTCTATCAAAAATTATTTATTTAATTGAATATATAAAGATTGGTACAAAGGGGTACCAGGTATATATGCGCCACACAAATCTCATTCGATTTGTGTGAGGGCTATGACACTGCCCAGATGCCCAAACTGAAGCAAGTGGCTTTCTTAGAAGGCCACACCCGGAGCCTTTAATCTAAAGGTCCGATCTACAAGGCAATGGAGCATCGTGAGGAGATGCAGTCCCATGGTAGCCGGTGACCAACGATTAGTTCATACGCCATTTGTTCCCTCAAGATACTGGAGCCCATGTGCACTATTGGTTTGGAATCAAGGTTTCCAATTCCCCTAGGTGGACCCTCCGTGTCCACCAAACGGGTTAGAGCGCTGAGCATTCGTCCTCTGAATTTAGTAAACAACATCCCCGCCACGAGAAGGCGGTGCGTAGGACTTCCATAGCAGAGGCTATATACGTGTGGTCATGTGAGAGCGTACTCTTCCCACTCTCGGACATACCAGAGCATTTGGGGCCTACTAAAAATCATCATCTATCATTTATATAGCCCCCTTATATAAGTTTTACTTAAAAATTCTAATGCCATCTTATCTCGATCTTTAAAAAGATAGACAAAGATACGAAATAAATGAACTACTAAGGGATTTCTACTTCAGTTTTAAGGTAACAAAATTAGCATCACAATAAGCTGTATGGTTTTTTTACATAAGCGTGCAGTTGACATAAATAAGAAAACCGACTACATTATTTACAAATGTTTGAAGAAGTTATTAAGACGAAAAAAAAGCGACTGATTCTATATGATTAAGAATGAAATAGATAAGAAACTACCCGAAAAATAGACCAATCTATGAGTACAGCTCTATACAAGAAGTGTATACTACCATAATTTGTACAAAATATCAAAAGTTAAAATCATTTAAGAATGATAAATTTAAACAAATGTCAATGAGAGTAGATTGAGCAAATAGAAATCTCTTTACAATCGACATTTTGTTACGTTATTACGACTACATATTTAAAATGGTTTCTCACAAGAGTTAATTAAGATAGTTTGAAGATAAAGGAGAATAAATTAAATGTAAAACTTAAAGGTTTTCATTAAATAAATAAATCAAGACAAAGGTTGGTACAAAAATCAACCGATAACATTTGGGTAAGAAAGTCTTATTAAGCAACAAAATCTTCATAATAGCTGTATAAGAGTAAAAGAAACTAAATATTAACATTAGTTCATTTTATAACTATACACTGTACAATATCACATTGTTGAAATAAATCAATGTCAGAGAGGAATAGATTGATAAAGTAAAGAATTTAACATCAGGAAAAGTGATAAATTGACAAAATCAATCATTTCAACGCCACATCCAATAAAGATCCGGTAATATAAAGTTTATCTTATCCAAATTTAATGGCTCTACAAATGTTGTCATATTATTTTCTGGCTTAGACCATATTCGATCATGTACAATAATTTCTTCAACAGTTTGACTATTATTATTGTTATGAATGGTAAAATTAGTTTCATCAGGACTGAAACTGAAACTACCGGAAGTTTTAGTTTTATTAAAAAAAGATGAATCACGATCACAATAAGATATTTGTCTACCAAGACATTCTTCATCAAAACGATATAAATTTAATAGATCACTAATATATTCTGGTATTTTAAATCCACATGAAGAATATTTTGTTGTACTACCATTATTTGTTAATAAAAATGTAATAATTGAATCTAAACTATGCTGACTATCCATTAGTAAGGATCTTGAAATAGACCATGTTTGTTCATTAATTATTTGTGGTTTTTTAGTAAATTTACGTGAATTATGCCGTAATACAGATGAAGAATTTTTAGTTTGAAACTGTATTAATTGCTGTTGCATACTTGTATTGGAACTCGTACTACTGGTTGTCGTAACAGTTGTAGTAGTTGTTATTATTGCAGGAATTGCTTCTTTTGATGACATAACTGATGATGACATCCGATATTTAATTTGTTGTTCAGCAGATACTTCTAATTTATCACTTATAGGATAACATTGAATTCGTCTTATTAAACCATTTACTTCACCAAATTGTACAAGACTTAATAAACTAATTTTACAGTAATGATAATGTGTTTGATGATAAGATGCATAACAATTACAAAGTTTTGATGATCTTACAAAAGGAAGGGAATGATACGATGATGTAGAAGATGATGAGTTCATATAAGATGAACATTCAATAAATCGAATATGCGGATTGGCTGAAATTAAATATGACAGACTAAAATTGGATGAACCACAAAGGATTGTATACAGACGGAAAATATCGTGAATGCATAAACTTTGTAATTTATGACGATTCGAAGTAAATACTATCTGAAAGCAAAGAAAACAATACAAAAAATTAAATACATATATAATAGTAGTACGCATCATCATTATTGATAATTACAGAAAAACATCAAGCCAATACAAGAAATACCAAAACAAATTTGTATCTATACAAGCGTAAATTTAAAATGTTCAGCATATATTTCATAAAATCCATCCGGTAATATATATATATATATATATATATATATATATATATATATCGTTATTATATTTTCTGGAGGCATACACCTCAACATAGAATGATCATTACAGTTCTAAAAATTAACAATTACGAAGTCCAAAAACAAGCATTTATATCAGTTTCTGAATACTCATAACTTCTTGAATTGATTATTTTTTTCTATTCTGAACACCTTGAACCTAAACCTCAGACTGTTTTATTTTAAGTGATCTCATTAGGCAAGATGTAACTTTCTAAGCATCAGTAAATAAACCCTCATAAACTTTTCATACACTCCTCCTAAAAACTGTGTATTAGTTCTGTTTGATAATTTAATTTTCATTTCTTCTAATTTAGATTACCTTTTGTATGTTACATTATGCTACTTATTAACAATTAGTAACTAACTTCATTTTCAGTCATTTTGAGCATATTGCGAGTTACATCCTTCCATTGTCCAGCATTGATAGCTGTTTTTATGAATTTTTAACATTAAACTTACTTATTATTGTAATTGAAACTCCTTAATATTTGTAAAAACTACTCTGGATCTTCTTGCATCCATTAAACTATTAGAAAGTTGTCAGTATAGGGTTGTGGAGATTGTTGAGTGTTTTTGAGATCATGAAATGACCAATGTTAGACTACCGTTGAAAACATGAAAGCACTGGACACCCGCTTCGTTCTAATGTAGGGCTTCTCAGCAGTATTCATACACGGCCCGACATGCGGGATTCGAACCTAGAACCTACGGGCTGGAGCTAACACTTAACCACAAAACCACTAAACTAGGATTCAACGGTGATAATACCTAACTTATTTACTTGTAGGAGTTTCTAATATTTGTGGTTTCATTTTCCATTTTGACCGCTTTCTGGCATTGTGCTTTTAAACATAGCTACTAACTGTTATGTAGCCTATCGTATTTTTTGTAAATAATTTCTGTATACCTAATACAAGAAACATTTTTCCTTTGATTATATACTGGCACAATAAGCACTAATTGAGGTTTACAGATATATTTTCGTAGTGAATTGCAAGTACGATCATTCCGAAAGTAACAATAAAACTCTAGAAAAATAATGACTGAGCGTAGAATGACAACGTTGTTTGAAATAATCAAAATAAAACGAATAGTCACGATCATAGTACGTGTTTTAGACACCTAGTTCTATACACTTTCGTTTTTGCATTGATCATCGTTGTTCATCTGATGGATAATTAAGTATTCAGTATTCTAAAATGAATAGCTCTACATTTAGTTTTGATGTTCAACGATCAACTTTAGCTAATAGTGCAACCAAAAGTCTGAGAAAAGAAAAAAGCAAGTAAAATGCTTACCACAGCTTCCAAGCACATCTTGCTAAGAGAGGAGTCTGTAAGTAGAGTGGCCAGTCGTGGCAAACCTAACCATCCAGGAATAAGTGTTGAATTGGAAAACTTATCAGCTTGAAGAAGTTGCATTATAAATGTAGGATATGGTAAGGCACGAACTAATCCTATTCGAGCAAGCTCAATTAAACATAGACGAGCTATAGCCACGTCTAATTGAGCTAGCTGAGCCAATTCAATTAAACGTCGTCTACCGTTGATATAAGGTAAAACACGTTGAGCTACAGCGTCTAACGGTCTCCAACCACCATTCAAATTGTAACCCATTTTAGAATGACGATGATAAGTTGGAGAAGCGATTAAAACAAATACACAATTATCAGTAATATCTGATTCACTTTGAGGATTGAAATTAGGAAAAACAATTTGATTATTATGATGAAGATTGAACTGTCGAATTTTTTGACCAAATTCTAATCCCCAATCATTATCATCAACATTACTATCCTTAAGAATCTCCTCAGAAACCAGTTCAAACATGTCAAATGACAAATTGCTATACGAACCATGATCCTGTCTAGGACTAAACTAGTAAAAGAAAAATTGGAATTATATGAAGAAATCTAAAATATTTAACTTAATGGAGTGGAAAATATTTCGGAGAATTCAATTTTCACAAATAATTAGACTCAAAATCGTGTTAAATTAGTCTAAATATCACAGTTACCTCCTCAAAAGATAATGATTAAGAAAAGTCAAACAGCATTTATAAATAATAAACGTCAACTACCAATTCATTATCCGACTTTCAGTACGTGTATGAGTCCCACTCATATGAATCCAATTCATGTCAGTACGCAAACAGTGTACCAAATTTATTGGAATTTATCTAATTTCGACTAAATAATACCAAAGTTAACACCATATATATATATATATATATATATATATATATATATATATATATATATATATATATATATATATATATCACCATGGTCTATATAAGGTTAGTGAAATAGTTGAAACTTAGTTTCATTTGACTGTAAAGTGACAGGAATGATCTTGAAGCATTACTACCGTGGTAACCTATTTCATTATTTTTGCCTCGGTCGTCTCAACGAGACAAATTTTCTAATCGAGAAGATTGTTAGTTGTATACATAACATTCGCGAAATAATTTTGAAGACATTGTTAGGACTAATAAAACATACCCGCAAGTACAAAGAGCCACTATTGGGAAACGAAAGAATACACATTCCGGATTCATGTAATTGTTTGTAAATTGATTTAAGGCGGAGTAATTTTACGCACTTTTCTACACCTTCATGATGTCCTAATGAGCGAGACAGAAATCCACATTGTTCTTCTAAAGCATAAAAATATCTATTAATCTTTAGTGTTAATGCCTCGTAAGCTGCTTGGACGTTAGGTCTCAAACCGCCAGCTGAATGATCGTCCCAGAACTGCCAATGTGATATATCATCCCGATTAGCAGTTGCTTTTGGCTTAATGACAAGACATATATTGAACTGCAATGTGTTTCTCTTATACTGGACACCTTCGATGCGTTGCAGGCAGCCAATCACATAGTGTCTGAAAGCCTCTATTGTTACTAACCGAAAAGCTAATTCAGCTCGTGGGATAACAGCGTTGCCAATCTCCTTAAATTGGGTCTATGAAAAGCAAATGAGAAAATGGAAGAGTGTTATAGGTCAACTACTGTAAACATTAGTAAGCAGATTATTGACTTAAAAAACCAACCATTTAACACGATGATAGGAGGTACATCTAATGAATGTGATAGATACATAGGTCAATAAAACACTGAAACAACTTAAAGATTGTAGTATCGGTTATTATGTTAAGCCCATGTACTTTATTCTAGCTACTGGCCAAGTCAATTCACCTATATATTATGAGTCATATTTTGGTCTTGTTAACTATTCGCTTATAAACCTTGACTACCTTTTTATATGAGCGTATGTGTATGTACCCTTCGTATCCTATTCATCATATGTCTGTCATTCATTTTTGTCTGATTATAAATATTGAGTAATGCTTGCTCATAGCGAGTTGGCTTCCACGCCATCTCCAATACGCATTAATTTAGCTTCACTCTCGAGTTGGCTTCCCAGCCATCTCCACTACGCATCATCTTTCGCCTCGCTCTCGAGTTGGCTTCCCAGCTATCTCCCATGCATGTCATTTCCGCCTCGTTCGCTTCCTTCGCTTATTCGCCTGTTCACTCGCTCGTTATTATTCGCTCAGGTGTTGCTAACTTTCTGACCTGAGTTATTCGACAATAAACTGTAGTTGCTGCTATCCTTTGTCTTCTGATTTTACGCGCCGTTAAGTTTAGAATTATAACGGTTATCGAAGTAAACGATTAACGAATCGCGGCACTACAATTTCAAACAAAGTGATCTAAATTGTGAAAGGCTTTTATTCACATATGGTTTTGACATATTTAGGTGTGGGTTTCATTTGCAAAGTGTTAATAAGATGATAATTCAATACGATACCACTACACCAAGTCGTAAATCAGTTTTCTATTTATTGAAGTTGTAATGATTCTTAACATAGTTGCATTGACTTGAAGATAACAGCAAAGTGCTATTGATGTTTGCTTAGGAAGTTCAATAATTGAGGATTTCTAAATACGAAATATATCGCTCCATATAACTCAACTTTTCAGAGTTACTTCATGTTGTCAATAAATGAAAAAGATCATAAAGGGATAAATTCTGTTGCGTAGGTTATCAGGAATTTTGCCGTCTACTATCTTATTTATTTTCTCATTACACAGAACGGTACAAAAAACGGAACACAATATAACCATTTAACTCCACACTTTCGGTTTGTCTTGGATGCTGAGGTTAGGAGTCATTAATAATCTTCCAGAAGTCTCTATAGAATTGTCCATATTTAGTTTTAATATAATATAACCAATGTTGATGTCAAGTAACCTACGTTCAGGTATAGTGAATGTTATGATTCAAAGGGAATTAAAGTTTTTAACTACTGGCTATAGCGGCGTAGCTTCGTCCTACAGACGACGACCAAGCGGCCTTTTTACTTAGCGATCCTCACCGACAATGAAACTGGATGGAAGAAAAAATATGGAAAAACTATGACATAGAGCTGTGGAACCATGGATATCCTATTAAACGTCTATGGATGGTGTACCAAAGGTTATACAACTCAGTGGTATAATACGTAATCAGACATCTCAAAGCAGGGACCAGTAGCGATATTGATGTAATATTCCGCTACATTCTCACAAAAAATAAGATATATGTCTATCAAAAGAAAATAGTTGTTTTATTTGAATTATATTCTTCAAAATATAGTTATTTTTATTTATTTGACGATTTCTATTTCTATATTATGGTATTTTGATGATGTGTGTGCCATTTATTGGTATTTTATTATACACAGCTTATTATATTACAAATAAATAAACATCTTGGGTATAACTCTTTCAAAGTGTGATGCAAAGATTGACATTTTGTTTCTAAGTTAAAAAGCGATGTAAAAACAAGCTTCTTAGTGAAACATAGCCAACAAAGTTTACTTCTCTACTAGACTGATTAGTTTAGATGACAAGCCTTTTAAGCTTGCATCAAAATATGCAAACTTTTAAGAACTGGACATAAATTTTAAAATACTGGATAACATATATAATTAAAAGAAAAACATACCGGGGAAACATAGTTGTGTGGATACTGATAGGCGATCACAGTCCCCTGGACATTTTCAAAGGTAGCACAGAGGATTGCGGCCAGTTCCGTGGTTCGAACTCCGGCCTGCAAACAAGATTTAAAACGTTAGCTAGTTTATATACTTCACCATTCTGCTAATAAGTTAGTTGACTTTCAAATGAAAAATTTTGTGGCTGACTCAAGTACACAACCATAGACCCAAGTTAATGTTGTAGTTATTCCACACAATACATTTAAATCATTGTATTTCGGTAAATTTACTTATTATTAGTGGAAATTTGCTGCACTCAAAATTCAATAGCTTTTCAACTACATTTAGTTACTTTCATAATTGTTAACGGGACAACAGAAACATTTGAGGGTTAGAATTTATGCATTTACTTTATAAATATCGGAGTTTTATTTCAAAATGTAATTAAGCCAACCTACTGACTCAAGTACTGCTTAAAATCAATACAAATTTGGATTAAGTACTACAAATCAGTACAATCTATTCTTAAACCGTTGATTCAACTTAAGAAACATTTCACAGAAAACGCACATAAATTGTACAATTTAGATGAGAAGTGACATGAGCTGATAAACGTTCAGCAAATTAAAGAAAAGATATACAAAGATAAAGGGATAAATCGTATTTATGGAATAAAAAGATTAAATGCCTGGTGTGCGAAAAAATTTGGAAGCTAATACTAAAACTGTGAACAAGTAGCCATCACACAACTCTTCTAGCTTTGTAATGACTCGGTTTTAATTTACTTTCCATCCCACATACTTTATGTTGAGAAGTAGTACTTGTACGCACATTACGAAAAAACCACAAAGTGTTATGGTTACCAATGGTTTATGAGGGAAAATATTCAAATGAAATACTAAGCACATGCAACACTCAACCAGTGTCAACATTTTTGATAACTTTAAGGATTACTCCTGAAAGCACCACAAAAAAGCACAGTGATATTTCAGCAGGATTGGAAAGAAAGAATAGAGAGACGAACCAACAAACAAAATGGAGCAGGTATTATAATTCTACACTATCAGTGTAATAACTCGAGACACCACAGGTTTAAAGGCAGATTGAGAACCTATGGAAACGTTTAAAAATATCATCACTTATTTCAAACCTTAAATAATAGTAAAATGAAACGAGAATAGTCAACCACAGTTTATTATTTAGAAAGTGACCACTTAACGCAAAAGTATTACTTGACTGACTACTTTCTCGTAGTTAATTACCATCGTTTCCATAACTTGTATGGTGAAACCTATGTCACCAATATTTATTGGTAAAATACAATAAATCCAGAAGTCTTGAAATAACTTGAACAACCAACGAACCTCTGATATTCCCCGAAAATGATTAAACAACACCCTTAGAACTGCAGTAGCTAGGGTGGCCCCCAAATGCCCTGGTACGGCTGAGAGTGGGGAGAGTCCGCTCTCCCTCTCCAAATGCTCTCACATGGCCAGCGAATATATAGCCTCTGCCAGGGAAGTCCTACTCACTGCCTTCTCGTGGCATTACTGTTGTTTACGAAAGTGAGAGGACGAAAAGCGAATGTCCGGCGCTTTGACCGGGTTGGTGGACAGGGCTAGTCCACCTAGGGGGGTTGGAAAACCCTGATTCTAAACCAATGGTGCACATGGGCCCTAGTATCCTGAGAGAACAAATGGCGTATGAATCAATCGTTGATCACCGGCTACCATGGGACCGCATCTCCTCACGATGCTCCACTGCCTTGTGGATCAGATCTTCCGGTCAAAGGCTCCGGGTGTGGGCCCCTAAGAAAACTACCTGCTTCAGTTTGGGCACCTGGGCAGTATCCCAGCCCTCAAGCAAATAGAATGAGATTTGTATGGCGCATATGTATCTGGTGCTTCCTTGTACCAATATTTATGTGTTTAAATAAGATAATAATAGGGTGAAATGACACAGTTTCTCTTGTTTGTTCTCATTATCTGGAGTCAATTTTATTTGTATAGTTGAAAAGTATAGCACTTTAGACTGATATTTCTTCGAATCGGGATCTACATTGTAGCGTTTGTTCATGATTAGACTAATGCATTATTTATTTATTTATTGAAGATCGATAATTATTGCTAAAATAGAGAACTAACAAGTTATACTTTTTTAAATATCCCAGTCCAAGAGCTGCATTATGAACAAATATTTTGAGGAATTGACAAACGAAACTATTCATATAAGCAGAACAAATTTTATATGAAATAATTTATTCAATTTGAGCACAAATTAACTGAGTAATAAGTTCATCTGGCACACGGGCAACTTTTCGAGGGTATCGGTTAAGTGTGTGAGGACATAACATCTCAGTCCATCCAACAGGAACAAGGGGAGAACCACTTGTACTACCAAGAAGCTCGAGAAAGCTGTTATCAGGAGACCTTCCAAGACCAAGGACCACACCCAAATCAGGCTCAGCAGTAGATAGAAGACAAACAGAATTGGAGCCACTTATGTTTGCATCATTGGTGGCCGCCACAGAACAGGATATAGCCTGTGTAGTTAACAAAGTGGATAACGTTTGTGGTGAAGTGCTAGACATAAATGAACCAGTGTTGGTATACGATCCAGGACCCAAGAGATTAATAACACGAGCTCGAACAATATCACCTGGTCTAAAACAGCAGCCTGGTTCTGCCTGATCGCGCTGCGTAGCACGAATATCCTCACGTCTTATGAGACCCTTGAATGGTCCGGCAAGGTAAACTTCTCCAATCGCGACGATATCGCAGCGAACAAATCGTCGTGTGATACTGGAAACCTGTAATAGGAAAGTCAAACTTAATTAAAGAGGTTGAGGGCTCTCAACAAATGTTTCCATAGAGTAAAACTAATAATTATCTATTTCACAGTTCTTTCGATCACAGATTAAAAATATTCAGGGAAGATGAACCAATCGCTGATATCGTGAATATGCAGAAAACTAAGGGGTGGTGATAACCACTACATAAACTGATATACAACCTAACTAAGTATGATGACTGGGACGTTTGTAACATATTTATGGCTCATTAAATGTAATAATAATTTGATAAACCAATCAACTAGTAGGCCTTTTTGGTCAATTACTTATAATTTGATGTAACTCAATAACAAAGTTCAAATTTAGCCCGTTGGTTTTAAGATCCTGTGATCTTGTTACATTACCCAGTTGTATAGATTGAAGCGTAGTGAGGCTTGAATCTGCAGTAGAAGGTTGAGCTGTTCGGTCAATCCACTACTACGAGACAAAGAATAAAACTGATAAGGGCCCATAACTGCACTAACTTGTGAATTGCTGGGAATAGTGAAGTTTTGTATATGCGGGTAGATGTTAGTAAAGATGATACTGTGAAAGGGGCTAACCGTATACAATCTATGCAAATAACTATACAAATATCTATTTCTTTTTTTCAGTGATCTGTAACATGATGCCTAATGCCATTATTTTGCTTTGCAACCTCAGCTTCAATGATTTAATTTTGGTAAATACTCTAAAATAGTCTATTAACGGGTGTGTAATTCGAAGCTTATTTGAAACTAATTAGAAAATTGATATGACTATCTGTCTGTCACATTTTAGAATATGACATGCATCATTAGTCTCAATACTTGAGGATATAAAACGGCACTGAACAAGTTCTAATTGGTGAAGGTATTTTAGTTTTTACTTGAAGAGAAGAGGGACTGTATGAAAACTTTCACACCTAATTAAGTGTAAGTGTTAGAAACAGTATTTTGACCTTGAAATGCATATGCAAGACTAATTGACAGACAGGGAAATAGATATGCAGCTTGTACTACCACTTAGTTGGTTGTATGGTTAGTATGCATTCTAAACAAAAAGCCGTAAAGTGCACGCTGTACAAACTTACTTTGGCCAACACAATTGACCCGGTGTAAGGAACTATGCCAGGAGTTTTCAATGGTGCAACTGAAAATGTTTTCTAACATTAGCTACGGAATAATGGATAAACATACTGTTCCGTCCGTATGTGATTCCTCTTTGACATATCCAAATGCGCTTGAAAGTATATTCCCCGAGCAACAGTACGTCGACGGCCCACTTTTTTTATTAATGTCTAAAGGGGATATAACGTCCCCAGGGACTACAACTCTACTGCTACACATTCAGTTTGATTTTTGAAAAACGTTATAACTGTTATACGTCGAAGCTTGAGCTGAGTATGAATTTTGTCTACGAGTATGATAATCTGAAATATGAAGGGCATATGGATAATTACAAAAGAACAAACTGGACGATGTAGCTGGGAAACTAAACTAACGGTTACATATGCATCTGAACGAGACTCTAGGGCTGTCTAGAATTCAGTATTTCTAATTTAACTAACAGTGTGAAATTTAGTAATATTTATTTTCTAAGAATATTTCCTTGAGGATTGATGATTCTTCTGTTAATACTTCAAAAACTCCCAAGGAGTAAAAAGTTAGTTGTTAAAAGTGATTTAGGTATAATTCTATGAGTAGTCTGCCTTACCACTATTAGAACTAGAGTAAATATCAAATCTTCGGAAAAAAATAACGAGTTCGTCGACATAGTTATCACGAATATCTGATTACTTTCAACATGAGCTCATCTACGTTGTTTTTTGGGATATCTTCATCGATTAAGGTTGCCAGGCGTAATACAACCGCCTAATTGATGTTATTTGAGGTTGAAGCTACATAAAGCACTATCTTGATGCGTCCTAACCAATTGGCCAGGATGTTGAATAGTCACATCCAGAGGGCACGCTGTTATGTAAACGTAGTGGATCATATAAATATTTCAATAGTTCAGAACTTTAAGATATAATAATGAGGAACTGTTTTACTTAGGTTTTAAACCCATGCCTTATACTTAATGGTATTCGCTTTCGTCATCGCAACCTCCATATAGTTCCATAATAGGCTTGTAGATTACCAAAGTAGGTTATCTGTGCCAATGACCGAGGATCTACTTAAGTCGACGGAGGTGGCGAGCCTGCCCAGCTTTCGTCAACGTCAAACCTCACGGCTAACATCAAAGGTGGATTACACCCTCTTCGTCGTATCCACGTTCCATGACTACTTTGATGACTTTACGACACAAACAACATTATTGCAGAAATATTTCAGTCAGAATACGTACAAGAAACAAGGTAAGACTACTGCTTCATGAGTCCACAATGTACAATTGATCTGAGCGCTTTGGTTGTCCTTGACCTTGTAAGGGTTCGGTAAACTTCGATTTACATTGCCTAGTTTTTCGGATTATTTAGCTGAGATCAAGTGACATTTCATCGGCCTCAAGGTTACGTGTAACAAACTACTTATAGAACTTGATCAATTACACTCTAGAGGCGCTTTAAGTCTAAAAAGATTCAGGAATCTTAGAACCATGTTACCTACAGTCCTACTCTATTTAACCTATTGAAATGTTATGCAATGTACATTCTGCCTCACTTGATACAAAGAACTTACGTCCTCTTTAGGAATCCTTCTTCGGCGGTCTTCACAGGGCGTGATGTCAGCCTAGTAACCATATAGAGCTTCGATACCAGCTGAAACTATATAGAGAATGCAGCCAAGAAAACCACAAGTGGTCATTTAGGGAGGATACAACTCGGCGCAATCACTCCAAAATTGTCCCTCAACCCTTCCCAAAACAAACAGGGCCTCACCTTGAAGTACGCAAGGTCGTGGAATTGCGTACCAAGGACAAAAAGCTCAGGCAAGCTCTCACTTTTTCTTGCTAAGAGTTGCCTCCATTTAGAATGCTCTTCTAGCATTTTATTATTGTTGTGGCAGTACTCCAAGTGTCAACTCCATACATTAGAACTTTCTTGATGTTCGTATTGAGGATTCCGACTTTAATATTGGTTGATAGTTGTTTTGAGTTACATACATTGTTCAACTGTAGGAATGCTGTCCTCGTTTTGCCAATATCCGCATCAGATCCTCCATGTTCCTCAGTGATGCTACCCAGATGTGTGAAATTTTCCACTTTGTGTAGCATTTGTGTGGAAATATTGTGCCGCCTATAACCAATTGGTTGAAACCACATTGATTTGCAAATCTCTCCCCATTTTTCATTTCTCTCGCCTAGTGCATGTCGTCCCATTATATCTTGTGCTGTCCATCCCAACTTTAGCGTTTAGATCCCCCATCGGGATTGTGAGGTTCTTTTTGATCACTTAGCTATGATTGATTTCAGCCTCGAGTAGAACTGATCATTATTGTCGTCATTGCTATCATTGGTGGGTGCATAACATTGGATAACATTCATTGTGATCTCCTTCTCCTTTGTTTTGAATGATGCTTTGATAATTCTGGATCCGTAAGAATCCCACCCTACAAGTACATTTCGTGCTTCTATGGACAGCACTGGAGCAACACCCTGGGTGTATGGAGCATTTTCCTCTTCATGACCAGAGTACAGCAGCGTCTCACCTGAAGCTAGCCTTTTCTGCCCAGCTTGTGTCCAATAGATTTCTCTGGTTCCGAGTACTGCCAGTTTGTATCTCCTCATTTTTGTTGCTATTTGACTGATCTTCTCGTTCTCCCACATTGTCGCTCTGGTTGTTAGAAGGGGCATCCGCCTCGGACTTCCGAAGAATATCGACTTTAATCCTGAGGCGTATTAATTCCTCCTTCAGATCCCAGGACAGAGGTTAAATGGTTTTAATTAGTTAGTTAGTTTTCTACAAGATATGGTCACTAACCCTATGCCCAACCCTCCTCATTTACCCGGGCTTGGGACCGGCAGTAACTCTAGAAGCGCTATGGGCGGCCAACATACAGGTGGTCAATATAACTAGGAGCTATCGATGATCCACTGCTACTAGACACGAAAGCACATTGAACAAAAGCTTCTCCGTTACGCACGTGCTTTACAAACAGAAGCTTAGTTCTAACATGATCAGTACTCCTCGAAAGTCTGTTGTGTCCTTAAGCAACAAAAGTATCATTTTTGTCCCAAAGAACCTACCCTGAAGTGAACGTTTGGCAGACCATATTTCTTCATTAGTTTGACCCAAGTTAATAGTTAACTGTGGTTTTGCTTCAGCCTACTATTCAGTCTTTATGGTTTTTCACGTCGAGGTTAGTTTTATTATATCCTAATTTTTTGTATCACCCGTTTAATCAGTTTTAACCTTTTTGAGTGTTTTGTTCCTTATTTTACAGTCGCATTTTTTTGCTGAGATCTATCTAACAACACAAATTTCATATTTTTCATGAAGAGTTCATGTGGACGACCTGGATGCTGATTTGCTGTCACCTGTGGTGATACAGAGTGATAAATTCAAAGTTTGGCTTCTCAAGGTATACATAGATCTATCAGTAACTGATTACAACAAGCTTAGGAAGTTAGATCACTTTCAGGTATGTAGCGCATCCAACATGAACGCTGAGGATTTGTTGAGTAACATCATCATTCTCCCTACGAGTCTGAGAAACAAATGTCGGCAACTCTGAATAAAGGAAATCCTGAAACGGATGAAAAAATAAAGGCGAGCAATGAAGTAAAGAAGAGAGCCATCGACGACATAAGTATCGGTTAAACACCAATGGAGACTATTAAGGATATGCTGAGGCTCAGCACCGTCATAACATCGATCGCGCTAGACTCGTTCAGCGAGAGTGTTCCCCAACACCGGCCACTTGTGTGAGAGTGTGGTCCGGAAAATTTTGTGGGCGACCAGACTCCCATTAACAGGGCTATAAAGTATTGAGTGTCACTGTCTGAATAGCAGAACATCCCAGGTCTCGTAGTGTAATCAACTAGTGATGTGACAGTACTATCTACCTCTGAGGTCGTCCAACCGGTCAGCAAGGAACACGGGATCCTGAAACGCATTTGATTAACCAAACGAAATGGACATCCACCTAAACTTACCTGAAAACCTGGTAAAATGATCACGCTTTGTGGTGATTCTCTTATAATCATGAACCTAAAAGTCAGCCCCAAACGTCTAAGTCTGCTGAACAAAATGACCGAATGCTCTGGTGTTAATTGAACAGCAACCTGAACATTCTTGAAATTGAGCCGCTAAGGGTTACATGACTTACTTGAGTAAAGGATTCTAAGCACAAAATTCGTCCAAGACTCGTTAGAGTAACGCCCGACCGTTGCTGCTACCTTGACGTGGTGGTCGGGCTTGCCTATCGTGATGATCCAATCGAGCTATGCTGGCTGGAACAATCGTTCCTCAAGGTCCTACCATGCCAGACAGGTCGATTGAAGAGCGGTGAGACTAAAAGCAGCAATCCCAAGGTCCGAAGGCGAAGTCGTACTGCTGACTGTACAGAGGTGTGAAAGCAGTAAGGTGTTTCCTTCAGACAACCAGCATGACAGCGATGCTGCCTTCCCACAAGGAGGGGTGGGGTTAGAAAAGGTCGACCCTAAAAATGCACACCTCGCCTTATCCCACGGATTTCCGTCTCCGGCGGTAAGGACTTTTGAAGAACGGAGCTAACACGTCAAAAATCCCCCACAAAAAGGCCGTGCGTGACCGGCCTCAAGCAGATGTCCCTTGGGCACTGCGGTCACGCACCCAGGTCGTTAAGACCAACACTAATCCAACTTCTTTTTCAGGTCCCTCAAGAAATACCCTTCCATGGTGTGGGCAGCCGGGAAGTGATACTAGCCCTCATACCCTTAGCTGCACACAAGACCAAGTTGGTCGCTTTCAAATCCTTCCTACACCTCCTAATAACTCTGTTATCTCCACGACTAACCCTTCCCACGTCCTTTTATCACCTCGCACCGCTAGGGCAAACGATTCGAGTACACAGAACGTTATTTCTGGTCTCCTGAAACCACGCTCTAAACTACATATAGGAACTTTTAATGTCCGAACATTGTGCCAAATAGGACAACAGGCTTCCTTAGCTAGGACTCTAGAATCTTACACCATCGATGTGTGCTGCGTCTCCGAAACGCGCATACAAGATCCGAGTAGTGTCATTCATTTGACCTCACCTAATCAAAATAAAGTTTCATCTCGATACACGCTTCGTGTATCTGGAAGCCCTGACGCTGCTTCCCGTGGCCTCGCTGGAGTAGGTATAGCATTAAGTCCTAGGGCAGAACTAGCTCTTTTAGACTGGATCCCAGTAGACAGTCGTCTATGCGCTGTCCGACTAAACGGATCAGTAAGGACCCGGAAAGATAGGGAAACTCGTCGTTGCCTCTTCGTCGTCTCTGCCTACTCTCCCACTGACTGCAGCTCAGACGATATAAAAGATGAGTTCTACAGGAAACTTTCTGACCTTCTCCGAGAAGCTAGGCGTTCTGATGTTGTAATAGTAGCAGGTGACTTTAATGCTCAAGTAGGTAAACTAAGTGAAAGGGAAAGACACCTGGGTGGATCTTATGGTGTCATGGCGAAAAGAACAGATAATGGCGACCGTCTGTTGCAGCTGTGCTCAGATAACCGCCTATTTCTTGCAAATACTAACTTTAAGCATAAGGAAAAACATCTTTTGACATGGCGACCCCCGAATTCGTCCCAACGTTGGACCCAATTAGATCACATCGCTATCAGCCACCGATGGAGGGGCTCGATTGAAGACTGTCGCTCATTATGGGGCACATGTCTAGATTCAGATCATGCTCTAGTGCGAGCACGTATCTGTCTGCGTCTAACTGGTCGTAGGAAAGACACTGCAGGGAAGCCTCTAAGGGTTCTACTTAATGATAGGCAAGCTAAGAATATATATCAGGAACAACTAGAAAAACAGTTAGGCAGCCATGTAAGTTGTGTCCACCCCGAGGCAGCGTGGAATGACATCCGAAAAGCTGTGGAAACAGCAGTGATGTCCGCTAGTAAGGTAAACCATAACGTTAGGGAGAAACAATGGATCTCGGCAGCATCTTCCGCACTGATAGATGCTCGTAAACTCATCCCACCTGGCTCTGAGCATAACGAAGAGCGGAGTCAACTTAAGCGCAGGCTTATAAGAAGCCTACGTAATGATCGTGAACAGTGGTGGGTAGGGAAAGCAAGAGAGATGGAAAAGGCAGCGGCAATAGGTAACAGTAGGCAGCTATTCAGACTCGTTAAAGAAACCGGCATTAGGAACCCGAATATCAGTGAAACCATCTCAGATAGAGATGGGCATATTATTCATTCTCAATCCAGGAGATTGGATCGATGGGCAGAACACTTTAGGGATCAGTTCAACTGGCCTTCAGCCACGCTTCAATTACCCACGATCCCCAGTCGTCCTGAATGGCAAATTGACGTAAGTCCTCCATCCCTCTGTGAGGTTGAAAAAGCTATAGGAAATCTGAAGCGAGGGAGAGCAGCAGGCCCTGACAGGTTGACCCCTGAGATTTTTAAGGATGGTGGTCCAGTACTAGCAGTGAGATTGACTGAGGTCTTAGGTAGAATCTGGGAACTGGACGTAATTCCATCTGACTGGTCCCAATCACTGATTGTGCCAGTCTATAAGAAAGGACAAAAGTCCTCCTGTGACAATCACAGAGGGATCAGTTTGACTAATATAGTGTCTAAAATATTAGCTTCAATAATACTAGGTCGCCTAACCAAAGCTCGTGAAGAGCAGACTAGAGAAAACCAGGCTGGTTTTCGACCTGGACGTGGTTGCATAGACCAGATATTCACCCTACGTCAGGTTCTAGAACATAGACACAAATTCAGACGTCCCACAATAGTAGTATTTCTTGACCTTAAGGCGGCATTTGACTCTGTTGATCGTGAGGTTCTATGGCAATGTTTGTCACTGAAAGGAGTACCAAAGAAGTACATTAACCTCATAAAGGCTCTCTACTCGAACACAACTGGTCGAGTTAGAGCCTATGGCGAATTGTCATCAGAACTGATTACCACAAGTGGAGTTCGTCAGGGCTGTCCACTCTCCCCATTCTTGTTTAACTTTGTCATTGACATACTTTTAGAGACAGCACTTTCATCAGCTAAGCCTCCAGGAGTTGAACTCTTACCGGGAGGCTCACTTGTTGACTTAGAATACGCCGACGACATAGTTTTACTCGGTGAAGACGCTGACAAAATGCAGAGTCTTCTGACCACCATAAGCAACAATGCAGGCATGTTCGGGATGCGATTCTCTCCCTCGAAGTGCAAAATGTTACTTCAGGATTGGGTTGCAGCGACACCTGAACTAATGATAGGGAGTGAAGTAGTTGAGCGTGTAGACCACTTCACTTATCTTGGGAGTCTCATCAGCCCTTGTGGTCTGGTGTTTGACGAAATCTCAGCACGGATACAGAAGGCTCGTCTAGCTTTTGCCAACTTGCATCATTTGTGGCGTAGGCGAGATATCCGTCTAGCAACCAAAGGACGGGTTTACTGTGCAGCAGTTCGTTCCGTCCTACTTTATGGAAGTGAAACATGGCCGGTAAGAGTAGAGGATATTCGTAGGCTACTAGTGTTCGATCATAGGTGTCTTCGAAGCATTGCTCGTATATCCTGGGACCACCGGGTAAGTAATGCAGTTGTTAGGAAACGAGTACTAGGTAGGGATGGCAAATCGATTGATGAAGTAGTGAAACTTCATCAGTTGAGATGGCTGGGACATGTGTTACGTATGCCCAACCACCGACTGCCCCGACGTGCAATGTTTCATGGTGTAGGAGTAGGTTGGAAGAAAGCTAGGGGTGGCCAGACCAAAACGTGGCACAAATCAATGAAGTCACTGACAAGTGGACTGGGCCATGTTGGTAAGTGTAGACTACCTGGTTGGGATTCGCGAGATGATAGCAACCGATGGTTAGAGACCTTGAATGACATGGCTCAAAATCGTTTGCAAT